GTAAATGGTAGGATTTGTTTCTTTCTTATGGCTGAATAGTATTCCATTGTGTATATGTACCACATTTTCTTTATCCATTCACCTACTGGTGGACACTTAGGTTGCTTCCATGTTTTGGCTATTGTAAATAGTGCTGCAATAAACATAGGGGTGCATATGTCTTTTTCAAACTGGGCTGCTGCATTCTTAGGGTAAATTCCTAGAAGTAGAATTTCTGGGTCAAATGGTATTTCTATTTTGAGCATTTTGAGGAACCTCCATACTGCTTTCCACAATGGTTGAACTAGTTTACATTCCCACCAGCAGTGTAGGAGGGTTCCCTTTCTCCCCAACTTCGCCAACATTCGTTGTTGTTTGTCTTTTGGATGGTGGCAATCCTTACTGGTGTGAGGTGATATCTCATTGTGGTTTTAATTTGCATTTCTCTGATTACAAATGATGTGGAGCATCTTTTCATGTGTCTGTTGGCCATCTAGGTCAGAGAATTTTATAACTTCCTTAAGGCTACATGTTAGATAAGTGGCAAAGATGAACTTTAAGTCTGAAACGAAATCTCATATACTTTTCTTCTCTGCTAAACTGTTTATTGCATGTTGAGATACTAAGCCTTTCATTCTTCTTCCATTTGGGGTTCAACATACATCATTCTAACTGTGCAAAAGAATCCCTAATGTCCTTGATTAGAATGCAGATTCGTAGGTATCCACCCCAGAGAAGTCTTGAGAGGTGGTGGTGGTTGTGGATTGCTGAGTAACCAACATCTCACATAATTCAACTGAGATAGTGTGACATGCGGAATTAAAGTAAAACCACCCAAATGAGAACAAGCAGATGCCAGTTATTCAGATCTTACTATAGCAAGAGAGCCACTGTCACTTGCCTTTGGCAGAGGCTCAAAGGCAAGCAGGCAAGTAGAAAAGCTTTATGAAAGTGAGAAAAAGGGGAAGATGTTAGGTATACTCCAGTTGGAGACTGTTGTACTGGGAAAGCTTGAGGAGGGCTACTACAAGTACAAGGACTTTTAAGTCATTGGCTTGGGAAGCATATTTGGCTTTCTCTGGGTGGTCTCTGGTCAGTCCAGGTAAGGGTAAAAATAGGTAAGTTGGTGGTCCTTGACCATGTCCTGACTGTTCTGGTACAATTGCTGCAGGCTGTGGTTTGCGTTCAGACTTGGGTTGTCATACAGTGTGGCCATTGTCCATTTGTGTACTCTATCTCTCAGAAAAACACTGGGCCTCTGGGCTGTTTCATTCTGTTCTTCCTCCCTTAAGGTAGCTACTTTGTAAGGTCCACAAGAGCAATGGACCGTCTTTCACCCTTATATCACTAGTGCCTAGCCTTATCAGGCACTCAAAAACATCCTGCAAATGAATGAATAAGTGAAAATATTTGATATTAGCTTTTATTGGGATAAAAAGTGAACTTTTTGGTAGCACATGGACGTGTTGATGTGATCAGACTGGTTGTCACCAGGAAGAAAGGCTGGAGACTGCTCCTTTCCGCCGCTCTGCTCTCAATATGGTAAACCCTGCCTCCTCGGCCCTGGCTACTTCCAATTTTTTACAAAGCCCCCAGGTTAACCCATAGGGTGAAAACCCAGGGCTCCCTTCCGAGTAATTTGCTTAAGGGGGGATGGTGTTCGTGGGAAAGTGGCGGCAGCTCCTGGCATCTTGAAGGCGACCTCAACCCAATCCTCTGCTGCCTTCTCGCACACTTTCTCTCCATGTCTCCCCAACATTAAAGCTGGGCCTGTTACAGCTACTGAAGGAGGGAAAGACGCCAAACCCCGTCCCCGCCCCCATATATGGTCTTAATTCAGGATTACAGAGTTCGTGCAGAGAGGGTGCTGGGGTGTGTGCGTTAGAGGCAGACCCAGCGCTAGCGGGGCAGGCCGGCCGTCCCAGCTGCCACTCCCGCGAGTGCCCCGCGCCCAGGCTGCGGGCGGCCGTCCGGTTGGAGGCGGGGAGCCGCCGGGCACCGAAAGAGGAGCCGCTTGTGGGCTGGAACTGCCCTAGCAGGCGGCCTCCGCCGCGCCACTTCCAAAGATGGTCACCGGGCCCGGGGGCGTCCCCGCCGCCGCCCGCCGCTAGTCCGCGGGCCAGCGCCGCGTCCCGGAGCCCCGCCGCAGGTAGGTGCGTGCAGCCTCGCCGCCGAGGCCCGTCTGCAGGGCGCGAACGGCCGGGCGCGGGACGCGAGGCCGCGCCGCCTCCCGACGCCGCCCTCGGCTGGGGCGCGGAGACAATGGCCGCGCGGACGCCGGGCCGGGCCGAGAGCCGCGCGCCTCTCCTCACCTGCGCGGCGCCTCGCGCCGAGTCCCCGCGCCGGGCCCGGCGGGCGGGCGGCCTCCGAGCGGGGCGCGGGCGCGGGAGCCCCTGCGGCGGGCGGGGCCGGGGGGCCCTTCTGCCCTCCCCTAGGCGGAAGGGAGCAAGGGCTCCCCCCCCAGGGGTCTTGCCCAGGTACATCTCGGTTATCCCTCCCGCGCGTCTCGCTGCGGTTTGAAAGGGAGACACAGCTGGGGGGAAAGGCTGATTCGGAGCGGGTGCGCGACCGCCAGGGTCCGGCCGCGAGCGGGGTGACTCCTCGGACACTCGGCTCACGCAGTGTGGACCTCTCGGGGATCGCCCGCTTGGGGCTGATTGCGGAGACTGGTGAATGGGGGAGCCGAGCAATATTTCTTCTCAAAAGGACTACTGAAAAATCCAACCACCTCATTTCAGGCTTCGAGCTACCCTGAATTTAAATTGGCCATCGTGTAAATTACAAAATAATCCGTCACATTTTGCATTTGTTACTTAGAATAATGAATTTAGGCTGGTTTGGGAGTAAATTCTATGCTAATCTATTATCATAGTGATTGGAGTATTTAGCATTGATTGAGATAATATGCAGAATTGAAAACATTTTATTTTTTTCATATTTATTGCAGCTATGGCTTTAAAAGGGCAAGAAGATTATATTTACCTTTTCAAGGATTCAACGCATCCAATGGATTTTCTGGATGCTTTCAGAACATTTTATTTGGATGGATTATTTACTGATATTACCCTTCAGTGCCCTTCAGGCATAATCTTCCACTGTCATCGAGCTGTTTTAGCTGCTTGCAGTAATTATTTTAAGGCAATGTTCACAGCTGACATGAAAGAAAAATTTAAAAATAAAATAAAAATCTCTGGCATACACCATGATATTTTGGAAGGCCTTGTAAATTATGCATACACTTCCCAAATTGAAATAACTAAAAGAAATGTTCAAAGTCTGCTTGAAGCATCAGATCTGCTACAGTTCCTTTCAGTAAAGAAAGCTTGTGAGCAGTTTTTGGTAAGGCACCTGGATATTGATAATTGTATTGGAATGCACTCCTTTGCAGAATTTCACATGTGTCCAGAACTAGAGAAGGAATCTCGAAGAATTATTTGTTCAAAGTTTAAGGAAGTATGGCAACAAGAAGAATTTCTGGAAATCAGCCTTGAAAAGTTTCTCTTTATCCTGTCAGGAAAGAATCTCAGTGTTTGGAAAGAAGAAGCTATCATAGAGCCAGTTATTAAGTGGACTGCTTATGATGTAGAAAATCGAATTGAATGCCTATATAATCTACTGAGCTATATCAACGTAGATGTAGATCCAGTGTATTTAAAAACAGCTTTAGGCCTTCAAAGAAGCTGCCTATTAACTGAAAATAAGATCCGATCTCTAATATACAATGCTTTGAACCCCATGCATAAAGAGATTTCCCAGAGATCTACAGCCACCATGTATATCATTGGAGGCTATTACTGGCATCCTTTATCAGAGGTTCACATATGGGATCCTTTGACAAATGTTTGGATTCAGGGAGCAGAAATACCAGATTTTACTAGGGAGAGCTATGGTGTGACATGTCTGGGACCCAACATTTATGTTACCGGGGGTTACAGAACTGATAACATAGAAGCTCTTGACACAGTATGGATCTATAATAGTGAAAATGATGAATGGACGGAAGGTTTGCCAATGCTCAATGCCAGGTATTATCATTGTGCAGTCACCTTGGGCGGCTGTGTCTACGCTTTAGGCGGTTACAGAAAAGGAGCTCCAGCAGAAGAGGCCGAGTTCTATGATCCATTAAAGGAGAAATGGATTCCTATTGCAAATATGATTAAAGGTAAGTGCAGAGATTATGTTTATTCTATATTCTTTAGATGCTTGGGGTCAGTCCAGTGGTTTCAGTTCTGTTGCAAATAAATTTAAAAAGAATTTATCACTTTGGAATGTCATCTAGGAACTACAGTGGATTCTACAAATAATCATGCACAGAATGTTTCAAGTAAAAAGGTTATATAGCAGTCCCCAACTTGTCTTACAAGTTACATGATTAGAGTACACTTCTCAGGCTAAAAAGGAAATACCATTTATATAAGAAAACAGTATAATTCATTCTACTTACTCCATAGCCTGTTTTGAGCCTAGATCTTGCTTTGAGTCCTAAGAATTTATATTAGAAGCCATAGGCTAAATGAAGAGAGAGAGAAAGCTAGGTACTTTTATTAGTTAGTGTTTCATTTTTTTTATATTGAACCTTTTTTGATTCTTTTAAATATTCAGCTTTTCCCCCCTCTCATCATCTGATCATCCCTTTTTTAAAAGGTCTTTCATTAAAACCTTGAAAAGTTTGGTCCTTGAAGGGTTTAGCAAATTACATCCTCTCAGAAACTAGGCACAAATAGCCTCTGCCTTTTGTTATTCAAATCTTGTTTCATAGGCTGAAGGCTAGTGGTAGATCCCATACCCTCCGTTGCATGGCCCACAAAGCCAGGCACTTACTGGGCCTCAAACCCTATCTGATGAACACTGTGTTTTCTGCTGTTTGATACTATGTTAGCCTTGCTCTCTTTCCCTGCCGCCAGAAGAAATACGTTAAACTGGTATCTTATTTAATTACATTTATTCATTGGTGCTGGGAAGTTACACGAGAACAGCTGGTAGGTTGTTACCAAATTTGAGTCATTTTATCCGAAATATTTCTTCCCAAGACTGTTTCTTTTTTAACGCTAATGAGGGTGTGGGAACTTGACCTGGTCTGGGAATCTGACCCAGTATAATCTTGGATGACAAGCAGGAAGCCTGAGAGTCAGAATGGTCTTGTGAGCAGGCACACTACTTCTGAAGCCAAACTGCCTGGGTCCAGATCCCAGCTTTCCACTTACTTGCTGGAGAACTTGGGCAAATTGTTAAATCTCCCTGTGCCCCAATTTTGCCATCTGTGCAGTAGAGGTGATAACATTACTTATGTTCAGGGTTTTGAGAGAGTTAAATGAATTTATGCATGTGAAGCACTTAGAACAATGTCTGGCATGGAGCAAGCCTATTAGGCGTTTTTGGCCTTAAAGTCATTATGGAAGAACATTTCAGCTTTAATGGGACAAAAATGACCTCCATTTTAAATCGGGGCCCCTCTCTTGCACACACGAAGACTCAGCGGTGGTTCCAAAGGCAGGAGAAGGTACTTAAACCAGATGCGGTTGCTGCTCTAGTTTTTCACTCTTCCTGAGCTTGATTACTTACTGATCCCGCGTCTCCTTCCCAGGGTGGTTCTGAATTTCCTTCAAAAGAAACAAGAAAGTTCAGATATTTTAGCAGCTATTGTGAATGTCGATTCATTTCTGCCTGTGCTTCTTAATGATGGGGTAACAGTTTCAATGGTTTTGTAGTTTAGAGTATATTTCTTTGAGGATGGAAGTTTACTACTTTACAAAAAATTTACTAAGTCATATTTGAAACAATGCTTGCTTAGAAGAATGTGCTGCAGTGGTGTGCCCACTGTGAGAGAAAGCCATGTGTTCTTGCTTAGCCTTGAGTGGAATGGAAGACCCTCAGAAACCAAAGTCCTATCTACCATCTGGGTCTGAAATTCCAAAGTTTTATACTTTTAACTTGAAGTTTTGATTCCTGATTCTATGTAATCATTCCAGGGAAGGGTCACACTTTGTCAGTTATGTGCACTTTGGCTAGTACTGGTTCTCATGGGTGCACGCATGCTGAAAAAGCTTTAAGTTTCCCATTTTTCTGTACAAAGGATAAAATTTTCCCCAATTTGTTTTATTTTGTAGTCATGAAGTGAACTAGCAGCTTTTCCTGGAAATGAGAATATGAACTGGGTAGAGCCAAATTTCAAATTCATTTCCTTTTTTGGCTTAGAGATGTACAGAGAAGAAATAAATGCTTAGTTGTTTAAGAACTCCTAACTTTTTTCCCCCCTCATCATAACTGTCCTGCTTATAAGTTTTGGTGCAGAACTGCGCAAGGAGTTTGAACTGCACCCAGCACGTAACGGTGCTAAGTAAAAAGTTGGTTGAAAGACTAAACTGACGTTTTCAACTAAAACAAGCTTTGCCATCTTTCTTTCTCTTTTCTTCCTCTGCTGAGCCCATTTCCTCCTCTTTTTCCTGTGGCATCAGTGTTGCCCAGTCTTCTGAGCTGAGAACCTCAGAATCAGTCCTACTGGTCACTGATGTGGGCAGTCCCCAGCGCCTGTTCGCCTTTGTCTCTTGCCTCAGGCCTTTCCCTCCACAGCCAAGACTCCTTCTCAGTCAGGCCAATACCGAGATCTTGCTGACTCTTGTTCTTCTACTTTTGTAATCCCTCCATTCCTCTGTTTAAAACCTTTAAAATCCCACTAAGTCCACATTTCTTAGTTGGGCATCGGGATCTCTTGCTTTGTAGCTTCAACTTACCATGTCAACTGTAATTCCCACACAGGAATCCCTTACAGAATGCCCTTCCTGCATGCTGGCATCAAACTGGGCTACTTCACATTGCCCAATAAGCTGTCACACTTGCCTTTCCCCCTGTTCAGGATGGCTTCCTGGCACCTCTGCTGGCCAGTGTTCTGCCTACTGAGGTCCAGGCCAAACTCTGCTGCCTCCTGCAGGGGTCTCCCTAGTCAGCACAGTGTTTCCTTGCCTTGAACACTCACAGTAGGACTGTTCCCTGTGTTCTGATTATTTGTGGAAATGTCTCAATGTCTTTTAAAAGAGTGAAAGGAGCCTTTCTTTTTCCCTCTTCCGTCCCTCGTAGCACCTAGCACAGGCACAATGCCTTGCATCTACTATCAATAAAAACAAAACAATAATAAGTTTAGCTCAATATTTATTGCAAAACAGAATGAAAGACCAACCTGAAGATGTGATTTTAATTAACACACAGGCGTGGGAAATGCTACAGCCTGTGTCCTACATGAAGTCATCTACGTCATTGGTGGTCACTGTGGCTACAGAGGAAGCTGCACGTATGACAAGGTCCAGAGCTACAGTTCAGATACCAATGAATGGAGCCTCATCACTTCCAGTCCACATCCAGGTAACACAGCTGTCTAAAGTAGCACATATTGTGATACATCTTATCAGTATAAAACATGGCTAAAAATTGGCTGAACATTGAAAATGCTATATTAATAGCAGATTAGATATAGGTGTCATTAAGAGGCTTAAAATATTCATATGTCCATCTAACAGTAATCACAATTAGATTATTCTAATTAGCTCACATCCACAAATACTTTCCCTGATGACTTTACACAGTGCACATTTTAAAGGTCTTCATGGTTAAAAGTGGCAGCTTCTTTTTAAATTTTTTTCACTTAGGTTCTTTATTATTTCCTTTTCCTTTGTTATGTGCTTTATTTCATTTACATGTATTATATAAAACGCAAATTTTATGGACAGTTAAAAAGCACTAGTCTATCAAATAGTCAGGAAGGGTATACCCACTGAATCAGTCATCAGGAGATGGTTTCTGGGTTTCAGTAACTCTTAAGCACTCACTCCTACAATGTACAGAGCTTAACAGTTAGAAGAGGGTCATATCATCTTCCCACAAGGAATGGCTTGCCTTCACTGGGCTTTTGTTCTCTGATGTGTCTCTTTGTGAAGAGATAGGGGGGAAGCATAAGCTGTAACCTGTCACAGTTATGCCATATGTTTAAGTTTTCTCATTAGGAAGAATTCATATCACCATACTACTTTCAATCTTTTTCCATATAGCATCAGCCTTCTGTGTGGGTTACTGGAGAGCAATTTGAAATTCATACTTGAGTCATCTGAGAGTAACTGTAATAGTGAACCTTCTTGAATACTTTCCATAGGTCAGGCACTGACTAGGCTAGCACTTTGTATTTATTACCTCATATTTTAACTACAACCCTGTGAGTAGGTATTGTTTACCCTCATTACATACTTGGAAATGGAGGCTAGAAAGGATAAGTAACTTTGCCAGGATCACACAGTTTCGAAGTGGTGGACCAGGATTCGAGTTCAGGCAATCTGAATTTGAGTAGAACCTGAGCTATAACCATCAATGTCTGCCTCTCCTTCAGGGAGCAGGCTCTCCTGCTTTTGACCAGCACAGCTACTTCCCACCCATACATCATATATGTCACCTCGCAGTTCAGGTGGAGCACACAAGTGAATGTGATGCTGCACCTCCTATGCCACAGGCTTTGCGTGAGAGGACACTTCAGCCCCAGGCTGTCCTGGCTCTGAAGGCATCATAGATGGGCAGCCTTCTGTCTCCTGGTAGCCAATATGTATTATCCCAGACTCCCCACCACTTTCTGTAGTGACCAATGAAGTTATAATAGGAAGTAATAATTGCAGCTAATATTGACTAATTGCCAACATTTATTCGGTAAGTATGTGTCAGGCAGTATTCCAATAATTTTACATGTATTAATGTATTTAAACCTTGCAGCAATCCTTTGAGTGAGGTACTATCATCATCTCATTTTACTGGTCACTGAGGCACAGAGACAGTAAGTAAATTGTCCAAGGGCAGCCAGCTAGTGCTTCTTAGACTTGAGGTTTAAATCTAGGTGGCCTGGCTGGGAGCTCATGCTCTTAACAACTATACTATTATCTCATTTGATCCTCATGTTAACTTTATGAGTTAGATACTACTCTGAGTTATTGTTACAAAGAAAATCCAGGATAGGAAAACTCAGATTAACAAATTAGCATTACAAATTTAATGTACATTTTGTAAAGGGGCTCTTTAAAAATAAATATCCCATAACATATTTAAGTTGCATATAGCTTGTTAACTATATGAAAGAGAGTCTAAAAGGCAGTGAGATATAGCCAAAGTATGAAAAGCCATGGCAAAATTTAAAAAGTATGAAATAAAGAAAGTATGAAAGCCATGGCAAAAAAATTTTTTTTTAATTTAAGTCATAAATAAATATTTAATTGTATGGGAACATATAATTTCATTTGCACAGTTTTGGTTGACATCGGTCTTTTTCCTGACATAATGTAAGAAACAAAAGTAGCAAATTAGCACCTTACATTGTAGGTTCTGTTTAGTATTTAAAATATCTTTTAACTGGCATGTTATAAATATTTGAAATCCAGGAGATTTCAAATAAAAATCATAATTTCTGGTCTTTAGAAAAATTGGAAGGTCTGGCAACCTTCCCTCCTGGCAGCAATCACTAGGGCCAAGTGGTGGCCATTCCCTCTAGATGAGGCTTGTGTACTCCATTTCACCAGTCTTCCATCCATATCACATCATAGACCTAGGGGACCCATGCTGTTGCTTTTTCTTATGCCCTTGCCTGCTTCATTCAGCTAGTCTGTTGTTTCCTTAGTCCTTGAAGGCATTTGGATCTACATCCTCTGAATTATAGCAAGGTATGCTGCTTGTGCATGTTAGGAGCCCCTCCTGAGGAGCATAAAACATTAGTCTTGAATCTACTTATAGATACGTAGCTTAGGCTGCAAAGAAATGACTATTATTTTTAAAAGGTAGTATAAATGTTATTTTTTTTATTAATGCCTTTAAGGGAAGTAGCTTTGTATAGTTAAAAAAACATGGAACTATAATTCCATTAAATTCAAGGAAATATTCATTGAGACCTTACCTTGGGAGATTACTGTTCTAGTTATTATATAAGACACAAAGATGATTAAGAGCTAGTCTCTACTGCCATAGGAGCTCAGAATCTAGTAGCAAATATGCACATGTAACCAGAATGCAAGACAATGTTAGAAACAAGTGCTTTGAATTAGAGGGTGGAGAGGAGTTGAGTCTAATTAAGGATTATATATTAATTAAGAGGACTCTGGCAATCTTAGAAGGGTTCCAGAAGTAGGTTGCTATGATTTAGGCCTTAAAGAATGGCTACAAATAAGGAAGGTAGTTTTTGAGAAAGGGTTTTCAGGCAGAAAGTTAGTCAATGAAGAAAGGCAGAAGGGAAACTTACAGGTTTACTCCAGTACCTGGGAGTAGTGTATATGGATAAGATGTAAGAAGGTTGAATAAGAGATTGGGTGGGAGAGTTCAGCTGAGGAACATATCATAGAGGGCTTTGAATGGAGGATTTAAAAAACAGAACTATCAAAGGTTTCAGAGCAAGAGACTAATGTGTGACTAGTTGTGGTTTTAAGAAGAGAGCTTTTAGAATAAAGTAGGAGAAAGTCAGACAACAAGGAAATCTGCTGAAACAATTGTAATATACCAGGTGAGAAGTGCTAAAAGCCTGAAGTGGTAGGAAAGGAAAACAGATATGAGGAATATTACAGATTTACCGTCGAATTGATAATGATTACTATCTTGGCTGATTGGATATAGGAGATGAGGCAGAGATAGGAGTTGACAGTCATTCCAGAGTCTGTGACTGGTTGACTGGGAGGATGGGAACCATTGAAGGAGGAAGATAGGAAGGGACAAAAGGAGCTGAACTAGAGCTCAGTCTTGCAGTTAAATGTGAAGGACTAGTTGGATAACGCAGAAGAGGTGTCCAGCTGTTCAGCTCTTCTGGACAGGAGAACTGGGGGTCTACAGCTCAGAAGGAAGAATGTGGCTAATATAGAGATCTGGGAGTTTGCTTAGATATGGTGACTATGGGTGAGGGAGCAATTGAGCTACTTAGGAGGGTAGGAACAACTATACAGCTGTGGACAGAATCTTGAGAAACAACATGAGTAAGTGATGAGCTGAGGGAGAAGAGCATGTGAGGAACAGAAAAGCAGGAGGTGATAAAGGAGAAAACCTTTAGAGAGTTGTGTCAAGGTGGGAGCAAGCTATGTCCTGGCTCTGCCATTTATTTACTTACTTAATTTTGGGCATTGGTTTAAGCCCTTGCATCTTATTTTCCAAAAAATTAGGAAGTTATATTAGGTAAGCCCTAGGTCTTTACAATAAGATAAATCTTAGGAAAAAACTTTTAAATCATCTTAATAGATATTAAATACCAGAAAATATTGTGGTTATCTTTGATTCCCTGAATGGTTTTGTTCATAATTTACTCATGTAACACTGAATACAGACTACCATGTATTTTATAGTGAATATTTGTATATAATCTCTTAGAACAGTGACAGATGGTCCCATTCCCATGCTTGGTTTGAAGTTATTCATTTGTGCCACAGATACTTGCTGAGTGCTTCCTGTGTACTATGTACAGGGCTGGGAGGAGCTCAATAAACAAGACATAATTCCTTAACCTCAGTAGCTTCGTTGCATGACCAATAAGTAAAAACTCAGTTGCAGCTGAAGAAGAAAAAGTTTCCAACAACAATAACAGAACATTATGTCGTATTTGGATTACAAGGGAAAACCTAGCAGGAATCACTTTTAAGTATTTTTACTGCATAGGAAGATTGAGATGCCTCTCTAAACATGAGAATCACAAATTGAGGATTTTTGTGTAAACTGAATAATAAGGAAAGCCTAGGAAGCTTACTCTTGAATCACTTCTACCAATTGATAAATTTTTTGAATTTTAATTTTTACAGTAAATGTTGGATGAAGTGATTCATATAATTTATATAGATATTTCACAAGTACTTGAATAATTAAATTCTATGAAAATTTTACATGAACATAAGTGATAAGTAACAAATAGGTTTTTCAGAGGTGAGAGAGTTCTTATTTTCTTTGATGTCAGAAACTTAACAACAAAATGTGGACTCAAAGCAAAAACTGTCATCTTCACAGACTTTTCCTCAGCCTTCAAAACCTAAATAGCAAGAACTTAATAAAAGTTTATGTTGCATTTGTAAAGGAGGAATCACATTCTGACTCTGCATGCTATCTTTCTATAGAGGGGCTTTTAAGCTTTCCTTCCATAAAATAATGAGAGTGAATATTTGGGTACAGAGGGTACAAGGTACAGTTCGTTCATTGATCCAGCATTTATTGAGTCCTTGCAAGGCGCCAGGCACTTGCCATTCCCTAACTGGTTATGATTGGTGGACAGGACACCTTTCCTGCGCTGTTAGAATGGGGAATGGGACTGTAAACAGGGAACGTATCAGAGAATGAGAAGTGCTGCAGAAATGATTAAAATAGGGCGATGTGGAAGAGATACCTGACTGGCCACTCCGAGTTGGATAGTCAGGGAAGGCCCCTCTGATGACCTGTGCAAAGACCTGGGAAAGAAAAGGCTTACAGGCAGCAGGGGCAGCTCAGTCATTTACTTGCTTCAACTTTAGTGCCACTGACGAATCCTGCTCTTCCTTCAGGTCTGTGGCTAGAAGTACTTAAGGGTCATCTTACGGCTGATATTCCCAGAGAATGGACTTACAGGCTAGTAGTGATGTTAGAATTGAGGTTGTGGAAGAAACAGGGCTGGGACTAGGGTGAGGCCAGAGAGACGCTCGAGGCAGAGAGCTGAAGAAGTCCTTCGGAGAGTCCGCAAGTGTGAGAGCCTCCTTGGGTTCTGTATTCTGGCGTCCTGCTTGTCTCGCCGTAGGCACAGCCCTGGGAAGGGAGAAGAGGTGAGGCTGCACAAGAGCCTGTGCCTTGAAGAGTTAGCAAGTTTGAATGTGGAGGGGAAGATAGATAAAGATGGGAAAAATTAAAATGGCCTGGAAGGCTGATTCCCTAAAGACAGGAGGCTCCCAGCCCTAGGGCCTGGACCTCATGCAGCAGCCCTCTGACTTTGAGTACCTTTCACAGCTTCTTAATGTGACAGACTGCAGTCCTCCACTAATCTGGTTGTGTGTTTCTCTAAACTCTTAAGTCCTTACCTTGACCAGCATTGTGAGAGAGACAAGCAAGATAATCTGGCCCCTGTGGCAGCAGACACTCCACATAGCCTGCCACGGTTGCAGGGATAGCTGCAAAGGCCTGAGGGAACTTACACCAGTTAGCTAGTATGTCTTCATTTGTGTCAGAGACACTGTGCTACAATCTTTCACACAGAGGTGTGGAAGGACAGGTGTGTGTGCTGGGAAGTTCCCAGAAGGGCAGTGGTCTAGGATGATCTTGCTGGCATCCCGCATTGCCAGCTTGAGGATGGCCTTGGGGAGAGTGACAGGAGCAGGCCATCGGAATCAAGTAACAAGGAATGGATTTTAAGGCTCAGTCTTGTGGCAGCATGTGCTGGAATCAAATGTCATGACCATCCTATTTTTGTCTGCTGAATTATAAAGGATTATTGTATTACCACCCTTAGTCATCTCTTTTATTTATTATCCTAATAAAAGTTTGCTTTTTTCTTTTTAATAGAATATGGACTGTGTTCAGTTCCATTTGAAAATAAGCTCTATCTAGTTGGTGGACAAACTACAATCACAGAATGCTATGACCCTGAACAGAATGGATGGAGAGAGATAGCACCCATGGTGGAAAGGAGGATGGAGTGCGGCGCTGTCGGCATGAATGGGTGCATTTACGTCGCTGGAGGGTACTCCTACTCGAAGGGAACATACCTTCAGAGCATTGAGAAATATGATCCAGATCTTAATAAGTGGGAAATAGTTGGTAATCTTCCAAGTGCCATGCGGTCCCATGGATGCGTTTGTGTGTATAATGTCTGATTGAATTCATAGAAATGACCAAGTAGTCACTGCTCTGGAGTAGAACAGGATTTGGAGTCCGTTACTTGTTATTGTGGCACATAATAGGTAAATTATTACTAACTCCCACTCTCTACCCAAACTCAGTGATTACTGGTCAAGAAAAATCTTATGTACACTTAACAGTTGAATCAGTGGTGGTAACACCTATAATCTCTGCTTGTCAAAGGTAAAATGGAATTTGGACACTTGGTAAAAGGTGAAATACCTTTGTAGTGAACTTTTTCTCTTGGTAGCATCAATACTATACAGGTCAAAATCATTCTGTGGAATGAAATGTCTCCAATGACCCTGTAATGTAATAGACAGTGTAATTAAGGTTCTGTTGAGCTAGCAGGGAATTGGAAATTTAGGGAAGGAATCTTTTCTACCTCTACAAAGTCAACACTTTTAAAAAAGTTTTTTTTCACCTTTAGAATTACTTTGAATTTGGATTTACTTTAAGTAGTTTTTTTTCCCTTTGGAATGTGTATAATTTATTGTTATCCTTTTTACTAACTACCAGAGATAGGCAGGATACTGTGCAAATATTACTGTCTAGAGTTTACAAACTAAATTTAAAAGGATGGAAAATCTGGGAAGTTGCAGATTAAATAGTTGAATATTTGCTGATGTTAAGAACTATTTTTAATTTTCAACTTTGATGTGAATTGTTTGTATAGGTATCTTTAAGCATGTTAGAAAATCCTTCTTATAATTAAGTATAGAAACATGAAAGATGTCTGCATAAAAAATTGAATTTAGAGCCAGAAAGCAGGTAGAACAGTTGTGATATAGTAGAAAATACATTGATGAGAAGAAATATGCATTCATTTCCCAGCTCTACCACTAACTAAATATTTGACTCATGATTGAGCCACTTAACCTCTCTTCTATTAGAGCTTCCTGACCCATGAACACTGTTACTTTGGGTAATAGATGTGCATAGACATGGATCCCTATAACCCTTGCGGCTGCCAGAGGTGGCCTGGGTGGCTGGAGCTTCTGGGCCAGAAATACCTTTATCCATTTTCCTTAGTGTGCCTACAGTATCTCTTTGCATGTATGCCATAACTTGAAAAATAGGTAGGAAGTACTGCTTAAGTTAACGCATCTAAACTTTTAGTAATCTGTTAGACCATCTAGCCACACTCTTCATTTTTATAAAGAGACAGTAATTTTAACTCTAAGTATGGAAGTTTAAAACTAACTCTTCAGGGTTTTTTAGTTTAATTTTAGAAAGAACTTATTTAATGCATTCACTTATTCACTTCAGATGGCATTTTAAATACATATAACCCTGTGGGAATGCAATATTGTACTACATAAAAAAGAGCCATAAAAATGATCATATCTTTGCCCCATAAATCCTACCCCTAGATTTGTAACCTAAGGAATAATATAAAAACAAAACAAGCAAACAAAAAAGGTAAATGCATGAGGATATTTGTGCCTGCATTATTTATCGTAGCAAAAAATTGGAAATAATCTACATGTGAAAGAAGAAAGTGGGCTAATAAAAATAGTAAAGTATTTTACTAAAATTAAAGTCATTATTTGGAAGATGTGGAAACATGGATGTCTCTGTGATATGGTAAGTAAAGTAAGCACAATGCAAAATACTATGCACACCGTAGTTGGGACTTTGTGAAGTCTTTATGGATGTGTAAGGTAGTACACAAAACTGAAATTCATTGTGTTAGTGTAGGGGGATATGGAATGATTTTTAATTTATTTAATTGTTTTCTTTAATATTACTTTGTATTTTCAATAAAAATAAATAAATCACTATATATGTAGTTAAACTGCTTGAATTTCGGTTAGTTAAGTTGAAGAATAGTCTGAATTAGTGAAACAACTGAATTATAGACTATTTCAATATGTAATTATAAGCTGTTTTATCACTCTCAAAAACATTTAGCAATCAGTGCTGGGCTAATAATAGGTTACGCAGTACTGATTTAGAGATGTTTTACTGAATAGATACAAATAGTTGCCATCACCGTCCTCTCTTTTTAGCTTCTGAAATCCTGACTCAAATCCAAACTCTGGGAATTCTTTCCTGACTGTTTCAGCCACAGTAAAACTCCTATTGTCATGTTTAAAGGATTTATCATTTGTATGTGCATAGTATGTCTTGGCTAGTTTTGAGATCATGGATCACATCTTATTCTTAGAATTCTCAAGGTATAGCATTTCATTTGTATATCCAGCATGATTTTTTTAAAGGGTGATACTATCAATTATTTTTACAGAAAAGCATTCCAGAGGTGCTTCTAGGATTTAAAAATAGTTTTTGATCTGAGGTGCTTAATTTGCTGCTCTCATTGTCTGTAAAATTCTTTTTTGTTATTGACTGTGTACATTTCAAGAAAGGATTAAGGAAGATAAACATTTCTGTCAAAATTATCCCAAGTTACAAATCACTATAGTATGAATAAAAAATATTTTACTATAAGTAAATGCAAGTAAATGCCCTTTGGAGGGCAAACATTATTTACAAAATAATTAAAATTGTGGAAATGATTTTAAGTAGGACTTAATTAAAAGGACTCTAAGTATCCAATTTTTTTTGTCAAGAATTGCAGGGTTTTTAATTTATATTTTTAATTAAGGTACATACAATAAAATGCACAAATCTTAGTAAGCAGCTTGATTAATTTTGACATGTGTTTTTGTACATACTTACATAACCATCAACCAGATCAAGATAGCAAACTTCACTAATTTTTTTTCCTTTACCACCTCCTACCCCTATGGCAATCACCAGTCTTTTCTGTTTGTTTATGAGACTATTTCTGTTTTGTTTGTTTGTTCATTTGTTTTGTATTTTTTAGATTCCGTCTAAGTGAAGTCATATGTATTTGTCTGTCTTTGACATTTCAGTTAGCATAATAGCCTCCAGTTCATCCATGTTGTCCCAAATGGTAAGATTTCATTCTTTTTTATGGTTGAGTAATGTTCCTTTGTATATGCATATGCTGTATCTTCTTCATCCATTCATTTATCAATGGACATTTAGGTTGCTTCCATATTTTGGCTATTGTAAATAGTGCTGTAGTAAACATAAGAGTGCATATATCTTTTTTAATTACTGATTTTGTTTTATTTTGGTAAATTCCCAGAAGTGGAATACTGGGTCACATAGTATTTGTATTTGTAGTTTTTGAGAAACCTCCATATTTCTTTCCATAGTAACTGTACCAACTTACAATGTATGAGGGTTTCCTTTTCTCCATATCCTTGCCAACTTGTTATTTCTTCTTATATTATCCACTCTGTTGTGAGGTGATATCTCATTGTGGTTTTGATTTGCATTTCCCAGATGATTAGGGATGTTGAGCATCTTTTCATGTGTCTGTTGGCCATCTGTGTGTCTTCTTTAGAAAAATGTCTATTCTGGTCTTCTTCCCATTTTTTAATTGGATTGTCTGTTTTTTTGTGTTGATTTGTCTGAGTTCTTTATATATTCTGGATGTTAGCCCCTTATCAGATATATCACTTGCAAATATCTTCTCCCATACCATAGGCTGCCTTTTCATTTTGTTGATGGTGTCCTTTCCTTGCAGAAGCTTTTTAGTTTGATGTAGTTTCACTTGTTTATTTTTGCTTTTGTTGTCCTTGCCTGGGGAGACATATCTAGAAAAAAATTACTAATGCTGATTTCAAGAGTTTACTGCCTATGTTTTCTTCTAGATGTTCTGTGGTTTCAGATCTTATATTTGGGTCTTTAATCCATCTTGAATCTACTTTGTGTATGGTATAAGACAGTGACCCAGTTTCATTCTTTTGCATTCAGCTGTCCAGTTTTCCCAACTACATTTATTGAAAAGACTATTTTTTTCCCCATTGTATATTCTTGCCTCCCTTGTCATATTCATTGACCATATCCATGTTGGGTTCTCTAATCTGTTCCACTGATCTATGTATCTATTTTTGTGCCAGTAGTTTTGATTACTATAGCTTTATAATATAGTTTGAAATGAGGAAGCTTGATACCCCCAGCTTTTTTCTTTTTTCTCAAGGTTGCTTTGGTTATTTATGTTCTTTTGTAGTTCCATACAAATTTTAAGTATCTAAATTTTAAAAGTTGCCATTTCTCACAAGTCTTACTTTAATTTTCAGCTTCAGCTGAAATAAGATCAACATCTATGGTACTTGCTTAAAGGCACATTAACCTTTGTTTTCACATTCATGTAATTATATACTTGTGTTATAGACTGAATGTTTGGCCCCCCCAAACTTCACAGGTTGAAGCCCTGGCCCCTAGTGTGGCTGTATGTGGAGGTAAGGCCATTATAGGAGTAATTAAAGTTAAATGAGATTATAAGGGTAGGGGCCTCACCCAACAGAAATAGTGTCCTTATGAGAGGCATCAGAGAGTACGTGCTGTCTCTCGCTCTCTCTCTCTCTGTCCCCACCATCTCCCTCTCTTCCTCTCCCCTTCTCTCCCTCTCCTTTTCCCTGCCATATGAGGACACAGGGAGAAGGCAGCCATCTATAAGCCAGACAGAGAGCGCTCACCAGACCCTGACCTCCAGAGCTGTGAAAAAAATGTCTGTACTTTAAGTGACTCAGTCTGTGGTATTTTGTTCTGGCAGCCTGAGCCTACCAGCACAGCCTGCTGGCAGAAGGAGATAGCCCTTTGTCTGGTACAGATCAGGGCTGGATTGGCCAGCAGTAGGAAGTCAGCCATCTGTCCTCAGTCCTGTGTCCTCCCTCCTCTCCCCTCCTGCACAAAGCAACCAAAATACCTGTTTTATTAGTCTGAAATGTCTGAAACTATAAACACAGCTTCATGTTCATTTAGGTTATAATAGGGGGCTTTTATCTGCCAAGTACTCCCAAAGACAGTGTCTGTACTGGTGCTCTGACTCCTCTATGGGACACTTACACTTGGGCTTCCATAGTACTAGTCATCTCCAGCCACAGGGATGAGTCCAGACCTGTGGTTGGCCAATTTCCCTGCTGGTTGCATGAAAAGAACTGATTATAGATGGCACAGGAACAGGGATGGGGAGTGACATTGATGTCTTGGTTCTATGCCTTCTTGATGCAGCTCCATTCTTATCTTTTCCACAGTTTGATTATGTGAACCAATAGGTCCCTTTTTGTTTTGAATTGCATCTTTATTTCTTGCAACCAATAGAGGTCTGACTAGTATCAAGCAAATGTTAAAATGTAAATTTTTTTTGGATAATGTATTCATTTTCTATTTTTGGTGTAACAAATTACCACAAACATAAAACAAAGCAAATTTATTGTTTTATAGTTCTGTAGGATAGAAGTCCGACAGGGGTCTCACTGTGTTGGTTTCAGCAACCTTAATTCCATATAACCTGCAACCTTTGCCATATAACCTAACATATCCCATAGGTCCTGAGTATTAGGACATGGACATCTTCAGAGAGCCATTATTCTGTCTATCACAGTTAGTAATATATTGTCTTATACTGATTTTTGCAATTCCATGTAGTTGAATTTATCTTACTTTTCTGAGAAGAGGTCTGATAGAAGAAAAAGAATAAAACATGATAGGTCCCTGGGACCCCTGAGGACTGGAAGGTAGACAGTAGATAGAAAAGTTGGTCACATGGTCATTTGCAATAAACTATAATGCAAAGGGCTAGCCTTTATAAAAACAAAATATAATGCAAGAAAAATCACTATAATTGTGTCAAAGATATGGATTGCCAACCCTACAACCATTTTTTGCTGGCAGGGAAAAGCTCCAGATCTTTCGATATACTGGGAAGACATGCTCCTTGACTCTTAACTCATTTAAGCCAATTATGTTATTCCATCCTCTTTGTCAGTGTTTGGTTTAGGAATGTGTATGAAATGAAACAATACTAATCTCTAAGACATGAGAAGTCCTGAAGGTCTTACAGAAAAAAAAAATTACTTTTTCCCCTAGGAGATGGATAAGACTCAGCATGGTTGCTCTTCTTTCTTAGGCTCACTATACAAAGTCTCTTCTTATGATTTGTTTACGATTCTTTATTAAATGTAAGTATATATGGGAAAGCCACAAAGTACTTCATAATATCAAACTTGTCAAATACATCTTTTGTTATACATCTAGAAAGTTCGTTTCTGGACAGGTGGATACACAGAAGTGACATTTGTGGTGTCCTTGTAGACCTCTTCTGTCCCTTTAGCTCTTTCCTCCTCAGACCTTCCTCATCAAGGAAATGAGATACCTGTTGCCAGTGAAGAGATTATAGGGCCTTGTGCACAGACACACATTTTAAATAAGAGCTTCACTAGAATGATTTTTTTAAACTGTCAGATACAATGCAAATACAGAAAGCCACATGAAACAAATGTACAGTTTAGTGAGTTATTAAAGGGAAACCAGCCTGTAACTGGCTTCTATGTCAGGATAGTGGAGCTGCCAGACACCCTCCATGCTGCCGCCTAAACACAGCCTCGCATGCCTATGAATAGCCTCTGCCTTCATCACGGTGATCATCTTCTTTCTCCTCCTGGCTAGTATCACCTGTATTACTAGTTTCCTGAGGGTGTTACTTAAAAGTTACCACAAACTGGGTGGCTTAAGAAAACCGTTTATTCCCTCCAAGTTCTTGAGGCCGGAAGTCCAAAATAAGGGTGTCTGCAGGGCTGCTCTCCTGGAGTCTTCAGAGGAGAATATGTCCCTTTCTAGCTTCTGGTGGCTGTCCGCACTCCGTAACTTGGAGCCACACTGATCCAACCTCTGCCTCCTGGTCAGATTAGCTCCTCTTCTGCCTGTCAAATCACCCTCTGCCTAACTCTTCTAAGGGCACTTGAAATTAGATTTAGGGTAACCTAGATGATCCAAGATTAATTCTTCCTCTTAAAATCCTTAATATAATTTCATCTGCAAAGACTGATTTTCCAATAAGGTCACGATCCCGACAAAGAAGCCCCATGGTGTCAGAGAGCAGGGCGCACATATGTTTTTGGAGGGGCCGCCATCCAACCCACTACACGCTACATTTAGCTTTGGCTTTATTGTGAGTTTTAGGTTTCTTAATCAATAGGTTCTCTCTCCATTTCTTATTTCTTAACCCCTTGTAATGTATTTATTGAAGGTGCTGGATCATATATCCTGCTTTCCCCAAAGTCAGGGCGGCACTGATTGTGTTCCTGCTTTACAGCTGAGCACATTCCTCTGTCCTCTGTGTTTCCTGTAAGTTGATAGTTAAATCAGAAGCTTAGTCACATTCGTGTTTGATTTTTTTGTCAGACAACTTCATAGGTGGTGGTGTGTTTGTCAAGACACATAATTGTCTCTTTGTGATGTTAGTGGCTATAGAAATTGTGATAAGAAAACAACTATTTTGAGTTACTATGTAGACATTTTACAGCATGAAAACCCTGCTCATACTCCGATTCTGGACATTTAGCTAAGTGATGTCCGCCCAACCTTGGACACGTGATGAGTGCTTGCCTCCCTGCTCTGCCTCTTGATCCCATGACCAGCAACGGAGGACATTGGGGGCCCTCCCCACACTCATTTCTGGGATTTATAAGTAACAGATTTCATGACGTGACTTCCTTTGTGTGAATATATTGAGACTGCGCCTCCAATCAAAACAACTCTGGAGTTTCCACTTCCCCAAAGGGGGAGGTCAGGTGCTGAAGGAGCTATCTGCTCTCAGTGTGGGAGGCTTGTGCTTCCTTTGTCACCATAATCTGCATATTCTTAACTGAATACACCAGCCAGAGGCCTCCCGACACAGATATTCAATACCTAGAACTTTAATATGTTAGAGACTGAAAAATGGTGATTTCCAATGCTATCATCTCTTCTTGGTATATTTGT